TGCAGATTGGAGAAAAATTTCTAGATCTGGTTCTCCTTTATCATAGAGCATGTGGTAGAGCCCACACGAGGTAACAACTTACTAGATCTTGTGCTAACATTAGAAGAGGGTCTGACTGACCAAGTTCAGGTAAGCGAAAAATATTTTAAGATGAACTACAAATACAGAAACCCACAAAGGTTCATGACTACCAAGGAATGAGAGAGGAACTGTAGACCATCTCCTGGACGGAGCCAGTAGGTCACCATGACGTGGAAGCATCATGCCACAACTTTAACGTCATCACGGAACGCCTTCACAAATATGTGAAAAAAGTAGAAAGAAACGTCAGGGAAGTAGATGGATGACTCAGGCAGTAGAACAAGTATTGATAACTAAGTGGAACCTCTGGAGAACACAAAGCCATAATCGACTTGAGAATGGTCCAGGACGGAGCGAAACGCCGTCGTCCCTTCACTTTCTAGTGTGTGGTTTGGTCAACATAAAGCCTTTGATTTCCACGATGGAAATCATTGATTATGAGATCTATATAAAATGGCACTAAACTAAGCCACACAGGAAATCAGATCAGCCAAAAGGAACTACGAGAGAAAACTTGAAGAAAGATCCAGAGTCGTTCTATGTCCATATAAGAATTAAACCAAAAGTAAGGGCTCGGCAGGACCTTTAAAAGATGAGACTAATCAAACTATAATGAACGATAAAAGGGCAGCAAACACAAATGAATATTTTACATCAGTTACCCACATTACTCACATCCCATTACCCCACACAAATGTTTCACGGAGGCAAAGACAAAATAAAACGATTCTTCGCGGCAGGGGATCGTATTCCAGGGACCATAGGATTAAGGACTGGCCCGAAACGCAACGCGTACTAGTGGCTCTACAAGAATGTAACAACTCTTGTATATATCTAAAAAAAAAAAAAAAAAAAGAATTTAGGAATATAGCTATAACATGCGACATAACCTGAGAGAACATTGACAAACTGAAAGACTCGAACGCCCCAGGTGTGGATGTAATACACTCCAAAGTCAAACAGGAACAGGCAGAAGAACTATGCCTTCCACTGAAATTACTTTTTACAAAAGCTCTGGCCAAAGAGATAGTCCCCCCAGGATTGGAAATCGACAAATATCACCCCTATTTTCAAAAAAGGCAGAAAGAGCTCAGAGGAGAACTACCGTCCAATCAGCTCGACACCACACATCTGCAAGCTCACGGAGAGAGTCCTAAGGGAGGGACTCACTCACCCTCTTTCAGTGAACAATCTTGTAAAATCAACACAAGATGGGCTTGTTAAAAATAGATCCTGCCTTACAGACCTGCTCACACTTTTGGAATAGGTAACGTAACCGGCTACTCTGACAAAAGCCTTCCGGTAGATGTAATATACATGGATTTGGCTAAAGCCTTTGATAAGGTACCACATGAGTGGTACCTTATCAAAGTATATTTTGATAAGGTATAACCCATGAGCTACGAGGAGAGACTTATGAGCTACGAGGAGAGACTTATGAGCTACGAGGAGAGAGTACGGGAATTAAACCTCACTTCGTTGGAAGACAGAAGAGTTAGGGGGGACATGATCACCACATTCAAGACCCTCAAGGGAATCGACAGGGTTGATAAAGACAGGCTGTTTAACACAAGGGGCACACGCACTAGGGGACACATGTGGAAACTGAGTGCCCAAATGAGCCACAGAGATATTAGAAAGAACTTTTTTAGTGTCGGAGTGGTTGACAAATGGAATGCATTAGGCAGTAATGTGGTGGAGGCTGACTCCATATACAGTTTCAAGTGTAGATATGATAGAGCCCAATAGGCTCAGGAACCTGTACGCCAGTTGATTGACAGTTGAGAGGCGGGACCAAAGAGCCAGAGCTCAACCCCCGCAAGCACAACTAGGTGAGTACATGAAAGGCTGGCAAAGATATCAAAGGCACATGGAATAAATGGAAGAATACTGGAATGGATAAAACAATGGTTAAAACAAAGAGTTGTGCTAAATGGGAATGAATCTGGAGAAATGTGGTAAGTGGGGTACCACACGGGCCCATTTTGGGGCCAACCCTATTTTGTCTTATACATCAATGACATAGATGAGAATATTACAAACCACATCATCAAACTTGCAGATGACACAAAGATTTATGGTAAAGTGAGAAGTGATAATGATGTTTATCACTTGTTGATGTTGAAGCCTTACAAAGATATCTGCAGGAACTCCACAAATGGTCAGATGACTGGCAAATGACTTTTAATACTGACAAGTGCAAGACCCTGCATGTGGGGCATAACAACCCACGCCACAACTAACACATTAACAACATTATATTACAGCAAACTGAGGAACAAAAGGACCTTGGGGTCAAAATCCACCACTTAAAAGACAAACCAATTTTTAATACACAGTATGTTATAATTGATGAGATTCCAGTGTGGACCGAGAGTCACACAGTGAAGAGTGAGAGCTTCCAGTGTGGACTGAGAGTCACACAGTGAAGAGTGAGAGCTTCCAGTGTGGACCGAGAGTCACACAGTGAAGAGTGAGAGCTTCCAGTGTGGACTGAGAGTCACACAGTGAAGAGTGAGAGCTTCCAGTGTGGACTGAGAGTCACACAGTGAAGAGTGAGAGCTTCCAGTGTGGACTGAGAGTCACACAGTGAAGAGTGAGAGCTTCCAGTGTGGACTGAGAGTCACACAGTGAAGAGTGAGAGCTTCCAGTGTGGACTGAGAGTCACACAGTGAAGAGTGAGAGCTTCCAGTGTGGACTGAGAGTCACACAGTGAAGAGTGAGAGCTTTCAGTGTGGACTGAGAGTCACACAGTGAAGAGTGAGAGCTTCCAGTGTGGACTGAGAGTCACACAGTGAAGAGTGAGAGCTTCCAGTGTGGACTGAGAGTCACACAGTGAAGAGTGAGAGCTTCCAGTGTGGACTGAGAGTGACCCGTCCAAATCCACCACTTAATGAAAGTTGCACAACAAGTAGGAGCAGCGGTCAACAAATACTAACCAAACACTTGGAATACGCAAGTGTACCTTTGACTTCAAGGAAAAGAATGTAGTGATTCAGTTGTATAAATCTCTGGTGCGGCCCCATTTAGATTACTGTATCCAAGCATGGTGACCTCATCTTCAGAAGGACATAGCTGCTCTGGGGAAGGTGCAACACCAGGCAATAAAAATCATCCCAGAGCAAGTCATCCTAGGAAGGGTTGAGGACCATAGGGCTTACAACACCGCGCATGACAGGGCGGATCTTATTGAAACTTTTTAAATACTGTACTGAACAATTTGGAGGATGTTATAAAAATTGTCATCTATTCTTCCGTGGAAATAAATTCACTTGTGTAAATAAATTCACATTCTCCATTCACTTGGAGCCCAGGTGAATGGAGAAAAAATGTTTTAATAAGGTCAGATGTAACACAAACAAGGAACAACAGGTTCAAGCTCAACAAGCCACAATGTTGGTCTGAGAACACGAGATGCTTTTTAACCCACAGGGTTATTAACCCATGGAACCGCCTACCCGCCCAAGCCCTTTATGCCAAAACTCTGCTCACGTTTAAAGTCCAGCTGGAAAAGATCATAAAGGCAAATGGGGGTGTGGGGACCTCCGACAAGCCACCGGCTTCCTGTCCTCGTCGAGGCCACTAGTGTTAGTGGTTCTCAGGTAAATTCAGGATCACACACACCTGGGGGAAGGGGTGATCGTGAGGCCGTTGGCTGAGTGGGGCCAGGTGGCTGAGCGGACAGCACGCTGGACGCGTGATCCTGTGGTCCCGGGGTTGATCCCGAGCGCCGGCGAGAAACAATGGGCAGAGTTTCTTTCACCCTATACCTCTGTTACCCAGCAGTAAATAGGTACCTGGGAGTTAGTCAGCTGTCATGGGCTGCTTCCTGGTGTGTGTGCGTGTTTTGGGGGAAAAAAATTAGTAGTTAATAACAGTTGGTTGACAGTTGAGAGGCGGGCCGAAAGAGCAGAGCTCAACCCCCGCAAGCACAACTAGGTGAATACCTGTTGACGATTTCCAGAGATGTACTATCGCAGCCTATCCTGGGGCCCAGCCTATCCTGGGGCCCAGCCTATCCTGGGGCCCAGCCTATCCTGGTGATTGCCTAATCTGTGAGCATTTTGGCCTTCATAGCCTGCAGAGACACCCATCACACCAATTTTACCATAATACACGTTTGGCTAATTGGCCGATGGTTCCATGTACGTTAACTACTCCCTTAAAAATCGGCACATTTGAAACTCTGCAGGATTCCGTGACTTTCAGCTGTAATGATTTATTAAATATAAAAGTGGAGGGCCTATACTTAGCTCTTCGTTGCATTCCTTTAGGACCTGGGCAACGACTTCATCTGGTCTTGGGGATGTGACTTTGAGGTTATACCTCTGAAGTCACGTAATTTAATGGGCAGGAACCTTCCTGATCTGTGTGTGCGTGTTGGGGACATGACCTTCAACTTGTTACTCAGAGGTGAGCCTTAAGAACCTTCCCGATGTGTTGCGAGCTTTACCTGTAGTCGCTGAAAAGTTTTTATTTACACTTATCAGTGTGTATTCCAGTATTTCTTCTGTTATCTATTCGCATTGATGCGGGTGCCGGGCCAATATTAAATGATTTATACGTTCTTGCTCTTAAATACCAAATACTATGAAAGAAAATGAGTCTAGATCAGTATTTTACCAGTTATAGTAAGGTAAGGTAAGGATGAGGAGAGAGTACTAGGTCAGTACAACCATATAGCACTCGGAAGGGATACGAGGACGAGAACCTGGGAGATGAAGACGGAATGAGTACCAGGAGTACACCTGGAGTGAGTTCTGGGAGTTCTTTCACTCCCCAAGCTAATGGGGCCTGGTTGAAGGTGCCAACCACTTGGACCATCAGAGACCAGTTCGTGGTGTCACTAACCAAGAAGAGATGGGCGGTGCCCAACCACTTGAACCATCAGAGACCAGTTCGTAGTGTCACTAACCATGATGGGCGGTGCCAACCACTTGGACCATCAGAGACCAGTTCGTGGTGTCACTAACCAAGAAGAGATGGGCGGTGCCAACCACTTGGACCATCAGAGACCAGTTCGCAGTGTCACTAACCATGATGGGCGGTGCCAACCACTTGGACCATCAGAGACCAGTTCGTGGTGTCACTAACCATGATGGGAGGTGCCAACCACTTGGACCATCAGAGACCAGTTCGCAGTGTCACTAACCATGATGGGCGGTGCCAACCACTTGGACCATCAGAGACCAGTTCGCAGTGTCACTAACCATGATGGGCGGTGCCAACCACTTGGACCATCAGAGACCAGTTCGTGGTGTCACTAACCAAGCAGAGATGGGAGGTGCCAACCACTTGGACCATCAGAGACCAGTTCGCAGTGTCACTAACCATGATGGGCGGTGCCAACCACTTGGACCATCAGAGACCAGTTCGTGGTGTCACTAACCATGATGGCCGGTGCCAACCACTTGGACCATCAGAGACCAGTTCGTGGTGTCACTAACCATGACGGGCGGCATCGTGGAGTAATCAGCCCTGAGGGGGAGAGAACGTCTCACGGGTATTTATATCAACAATGAGAAAATCAATGTGCAATCGAATACTTCACTTTGTTTAACAACCTGTTGAACACAATGACTCCATTGTTACTGGTCGACAGCGACGCACCGGAGAAGTTGGGAACTGTGGCAATGGTCGTTAAGCGATGGGAACTACCACGTACAGTGGTGTACACTACGGGGGTGAGCCACGATGTACAGTGGTGTACACTACGGGGGTGAGCCACCATGTACAGTGGTGTACACTACGGGGGTGAGCCACGATGTACAGTGGTGTACACTACGGGGGTGAGCCACGATGTACAGTGGTGTACACTACGGGGGTGAGCCACGATGTACAGTGGTGTACACTACGGGGGTGAGCCACCATGTACAGTAATGTACACTACGGGGGTGAGCCACCACGTACAGTGGTGTACACTACGGGGGTGAGCCACGATGTACAGTGGTGTACACTACGGGGGTGAGCCACCATGTACAGTAATGTACACTACGGGGGTGAGCCACCACGTACAGTGGTGTACACTACGGGGGTGAGCCACCATGTACAGTGGTGTACACTACGGGGGTAATTACTATATGCTGAGCCCTGTTACCTAGCAGTAAATAGGTATCTGGGAGTTAGTCAGCTGTCACGGGCTGCTTCCTGGGGGTGGAGGCCTGGTCGAGGACCGGGCCGCGGGGACACTAAAGCCCCGAAATCATCTCAAGATAACCTCAATATAAGGAGGGACGGTTGGATTGTGTCAAGCGTAGGTTAGACGTGTATGTGAGAGAGTTTGGGTGGATATCAGTAGTAGGTGCCTCGTATGGGTCAATATGCCTGCTGCAGTTGCTTGCTATCATGTGTTGTCACGGTGGTACTCCTCGTGGTAGTTGAGTCCTTAACATAACTACCTTCTCATCCGGTCATTATGTGAATCACTATAACACGATGACATCAGCGGCATATGTGAGGCTGATTAATATAAGAACATCGTTTAGGAACCTCTCTCTCTCCCTTCCTCTCTCTCTCTCTCTCTCTCTCTCTCTCTCTCTCTCTCTCTCTCTCTCTCTCTCTCTCTCTCTCTCTCTCTCCCCCTCTCTCTCTCCCCCCTCCTCTCTCTCTCCCCCCTCTCTCTCTCCCCCCCCCTCTCTCTCTCTCCCCCCCTCTCTCTCTCTCTCCCCCTCTTTCTCTCTCTCCCCCTCTTTCTCTCTCCCCCTCTTTCTCCCTCCCTCCCTCTCCCTCTCTCTGTCCCTGCATCTTGTGAAACAAAGCCAAAATTGACAAAGTAGAGAGAGATCGTAACAAGATTAGCGCCAAAACTAAGAGGGCTAGGCTACATAGGTTAATGGAACTAAATCTCACAACTCTAGAGGGTTGAAGGAACAGAAGGGACATGACCACAACTTACAAGATACTGAGGACACTAGATAAGGTGGACAAGGAGGGCCTCTTCACACAGAGAAAACAGGACAAGAGGACACAGCTAAATTGGTAGCAATAATGGTAGCACTCAAAATTATTGACAACAATACAGTAGACAGCTTAATTATTACAGTAATTAAGACAGTATTATATCAGTAGACAGCTTATTACTTGATTATTCCTCTCGTGGTGGAGGAGAGTCCTCACACTCGTGGTGGAGGAGAGTCCTCACACTCGTGGTGGAGGAGAGTCCTCACACTCGTGGTGGAGGAGAGTCCTCACACTCGTGGAGGAGGAGAGTCCTCACACTCGTGGTGGAGGAGAGTCCTCACACTCGTGGTGGAGGAGAGTCCTCACACTCGTGGTGGGGGAGAGTCCTCACACTCGTGGTGGGGGAGAGTCCTCACACTCGTGGTGGGGGAGAGTCCTCACACTCGTGGTGGGGGAGAGTCCTCACACTCGTGGTGGAGGAGAGTCCTCACACTCGTGGTGGGGGAGAGTCCTCACACTCGTGGTGGGGGAGAGTCCTCACACTCGTGGAGGGGGAGAGTCCTCACACTCGTGGAGGAGGAGAGTCCTCACACTCGTGGAGGAGGAGAGTCCTCACACTCGTGGAGGAGGAGAGTCCTCACACTCGTGGAGGAGGAGAGTCCTCACACTCGTGGAGGAGGAGAGTCCTCACACTCGTGGAGGAGGAGAGTCCTCACACTCGTGGAGGAGGAGAGTCCTCACACTCGTGGAGGAGGAGAGTCCTCACACTCGTGGAGGAGGAGAGTCCTCACACTCGTGGAGGAGGAGAGTCCTCACACTCGTGGAGGAGGAGAGTCCTCACACTCGTGGAGGAGGAGAGTCCTCACTCGTGGAGGAGGAGAGTCCTCACACTCGTGGAGGAGGAGAGTCCTCACACTCGTGGTGGAGGAGAGTCCTCACACTCGTGGTGGAGGAGAGTCCTCACACTCGTGGTGGAGGAGAGTCCTCACACTCGTGGTGGAGGAGAGTCCTCACACTCGTGGTGGAGGAGAGTCCTCACACTCGTGGTGGAGGAGAGTCCTCACACTCGTGGTGGAGGAGAGTCCTCACACTCGTGGTGGAGGAGAGTCCTCACACTCGTGGTGGAGGAGAGTCCTCACACTCGTGGTGGAGGAGAGTCCTCACACTCGTGGTGGAGGAGAGTCCTCACACTCGTGGTGGAGGAGAGTCCTCACACTCGTGGTGGAGGAGAGTCCTCACACTCGTGGTGGAGGAGAGTCCTCACACTCGTGGTGGGGGAGAGTCCTCACACTCGTGGTGGGGGAGAGTCCTCACACTCGTGGTGGGGGAGAGTCCTCACACTCGTGGTGGGGGAGAGTCCTCACACTCGTGGTGGGGGAGAGTCCTCACACTCGTGGTGGGGGAGAGTCCTCACACTCGTGGTGGGGGAGAGTCCTCACACTCGTGGTGGGGGAGAGTCCTCACACTCGTGGTGGGGGAGAGTCCTCACACTCGTGGTGGGGGAGAGTCCTCACACTCGTGGTGGGGGAGAGTCCTCACACTCGTGGTGGGGGAGAGTCCTCACACTCGTGGTGGGGGAGAGTCCTCACACTCGTGGTGGGGGAGAGTCCTCACACTCGTGGTGGGGGAGAGTCCTCACACTCGTGGTGGGGGAGAGTCCTCACACTCGTGGTGGGGGAGAGTCCTCACACTCGTGGTGGGGGAGAGTCCTCACACTCGTGGTGGGGGAGAGTCCTCACACTCGTGGTGGGGGAGAGTCCTCACACTCGTGGTGGGGGAGAGTCCTCACACTCGTGGTGGGGGAGAGTCCTCACACTCGTGGTGGGGGAGAGTCCTCACACTCGTGGAGGAGGAGAGTCCTCACACTCGTGGTGGAGGAGAGTCCTCACACTCGTGGTGGAGGAGAGTCCTCACACTCGTGGTGGAGGAGAGTCCTCACACTCGTGGTGGAGGAGAGTCCTCACACTCGTGGCGGAGGAGAGTCCTCACACTCGTGGCGGAGGAGAGTCCTCACACTCGTGGCGGAGGAGAGTCCTCACACTCGTGGCGGAGGAGAGTCCTCACACTCGTGGTGGAGGAGAGTCCTCACACTCGTGGTGGAGGAGAGTCCTCACACTCGTGGTGGAGGAGAGTCCTCACACTCGTGGTGGAGGAGAGTCCTCACACTCGTGGTGGAGGAGAGTCCTCACACTCGTGGTGGAGGAGAGTCCTCACACTCGTGGTGGAGGAGAGTCCTCACACTCGTGGTGGAGGAGAGTCCTCACACTCGTGGTGGAGGAGAGTCCTCACACTCGTGGTGGAGGAGAGTCCTCACACTCGTGGTGGAGGAGAGTCCTCACACTCGTGGTGGAGGAGAGTCCTCACACTCGTGGTGGAGGAGAGTCCTCACACTCGTGGTGGAGGAGAGTCCTCACACTCGTGGTGGAGGAGAGTCCTCACACTCGTGGTGGAGGAGAGTCCTCACACTCGTGGTGGAGGAGAGTCCTCACACTCGTGGTGGAGGAGAGTCCTCACACTCGTGGTGGAGGAGAGTCCTCACACTCGTGGTGGAGGAGAGTCCTCACACTCGTGGTGGAGGAGAGTCCTCACACTCGTGGTGGAGGAGAGTCCTCACACTCGTGGTGGAGGAGAGTCCTCACACTCGTGGTGGAGGAGAGTCCTCACACTCGTGGTGGAGGAGAGTCCTCACACTCGTGGTGGAGGAGAGTCCTCACACTCGTGGTGGAGGAGAGTCCTCACACTCGTGGTGGAGGAGAGTCCTCACACTCGTGGTGGAGGAGAGTCCTCACACTCGTGGTGGAGGAGAGTCCTCACACTCGTGGTGGAGGAGAGTCCTCACACTCGTGGTGGAGGAGAGTCCTCACACTCGTGGTGGAGGAGAGTCCTCACACTCGTGGTGGAGGAGAGTCCTCACACTCGTGGTGGAGGAGAGTCCTCACACTCGTGGTGGAGGAGAGTCCTCACACTCGTGGTGGAGGAGAGTCCTCACACTCGTGGTGGAGGAGAGTCCTCACACTCGTGGTGGAGGAGAGTCCTCACACTCGTGGTGGAGGAGAGTCCTCACACTCGTGGTGGAGGAGAGTCCTCACACTCGTGGTGGAGGAGAGTCCTCACACTCGTGGTGGAGGAGAGTCCTCACACTCGTGGTGGAGGAGAGTCCTCACACTCGTGGTGGA